CCTCGGGGACCTGCTGCGGGACGCGATCACCCGCCGAGACGACCGAGAAGGTACGGATGCAAGCCAGGGTTCCCGGGGTCTCCTGTGGGCGGGGGTGTTGCTTCTCGGTGGGGGCCTGAGGGGTAGAATTCCTTTAAGTGTCAGGGCCCTTCTTGGAACTGAGATAGTCAATCCAATAAAAGATCTTTTCCATGAGCATAGTCAAAAGTCCCAAGTCTCCCTGTAAAGATGAAAAGCATGCAAGATTTTGGTTAAATTGTGGTATATATGTATATTTTTAAGAATTACCTACCTGCAAAGCAAGTGGTTTCCTTGCAAATGGTTCATTTCCAGTTATTAATGAAACTTTTAAAAATGAGATTGTTTCCTTTGAAGTTGAGATTGTGCAGTAAAATTCATTATTATCTCATTCATGAACATATATAGTCGTACAGTCAGCCCCCCCCAAACCCTCAGGATATCGGAGTCAGTTGGTTTATCCGTTAAAATTGACTGGCCTGTAGTATCAAATTTTATTAACAATACTTAATCCAAGTTTCAGTTGTTTTTATAAAACTATTAGGCTTCTCATCTTTCATGTACTTTGTGTCCGAATTGTTCTGCTTTTGTTTTTAGAATATAATTTCCATAGTTCGAATGTGTAAGATACTTTCCAGCTGTAGGTATAAATATGGAAGGCTTCGGGGAAGCAAATAGGAATTACCTTATCTTGCTTGGCTCTAAGGCCAGTGGTTGAATTAATCTAAAACAGGCACGTGGTTAATCCGTTAACCACATTTCAAAGTTAACTCTCTGAAAACCAGCTTTTGGTATTTTTTTGGTAATTCATTTAGTCGCAAAACTCTTCCCAAGCTATTTATATTTCTTAACCTGTTCAATCTGGAAAAAAATAATAAATTTAGTAACATACGTGGTCCCAACACTTTCAAATAGGGATTGTGGTTCTGCATCTAAGAAAACTGACAGCACGTTTTATACAATAATAGCTATAATACGAAGACTAAAGTAGTTCTTTTCATGGTTTTGTGTGGGCTGGTTAGTCAAACTAGAATGCTCTGGGAATTTCTGAGATTCTTTACAATGCAGTGACGGTGGCAGAGAATCTCTGAGCGGGAAAGTACTTACAGATCATCTGGTCCAATGCTCTTTATTTTACATATGAAGGAACTGTCCCCAGAGTGCTCTTACCTCTTGTCCTATTATTCTCTTTTCACTTGTAGCTTTTTATTTAATGGTTGTCTCCTCTGTGGAGTTATAAGCACATGGAGGGGCAGGGACACTGTCAGTCAGGTTCCCTGCATCCTACTGCTCATTTCAGTACCTTCCAGCAGCGTTGAGAGAGTGAAGTTTGTCCAAGTCCACGAGACAATAGTTGTCAGAGCAAATCTGAGTTAGAATGCAGGCAGATTTAAGCCCTATATTGAATTAAAAGTTATGAAACAACAAAAAATTACTTGCACAGTTGTAAAATCTCTTGTGTAAAATATTTACAGGGCAAAATAATACCTAAGTTAAGGCTAAGATTTAAGGCTAAATTAAAATAGTAGAATAATAAATCCAGAGAACACAATAAATAATGCTATAATGATTCCCCAAATATTGTAATTTTGGGGGAAAACACTGAAGTAATGATTAACTTTGATTTTTTTTTAATTGCTTTTTGTGTGTTTGTTTTTTGAATTGCAATGAAGAGAAAGAATGGGACACTAAGGTTCCACATTTTGTTTGATGTAATGACCAACAGAAAGTATTCAAAATGATAGGGACAATAGGACGCAGAAGAAAAATCACACACACACACACAATATTCTTTGTACTCTTGCTAATTACTGTACTAAATTCTTCCTATACACTATCTTGTTTATTCTTTATGACAAAAGTAACACAAAAAATTCTGAAGATTCTTAGAAAAAAATGTCCCTAGAAAGACAACTTACAAAACTTTATTCTTCCCAGGAAATAGTTTTATTACTAATGGAAACAAATATTATGTTCATCAGTGATGAAACAGTGGAATGACTTTTTGAACTCAACAAAAGAGTTTGACTTTGTAGTCAATTATTAAAATTTTAAGTACATTATTGCAATATAAAATAAAATATTTGTCCACATAGGGGTCTTAGCTCTGTGTGCCATAAGAAAGCACTATAGACTGGGTGGCTTAAACAACAGACACTTATTTCTCACAGTTTTGAAGTTTAGATAGTCCAAGATCAACATGCCACCAGATTTGGCTCTTTTTTAAAAAAAAAAATCTGGAATGCTTCACAAATTTGCATGTCATCCTTGCACAGGGGCCATGCTAACCTTGTATCGGCCCAATTTTAGTATACATGCTGCCGAAGTGAGCACCAGATTTGGTTCTTAAGAGCACTGTTCCTGGCTTGAAGATGACCACCTTCTCACTGCATCCCCACAAGGTGGAGAGAGGAAGCTCTGGTCTCTTCCTTATAAGGGTACTAGTGTTTTCATGGGGGCCCTACCTAATCACCTCCCAAAGCCCCAACTCCTAATATCATCACATTGTGGGTTAGGCCTTCAATATATTATTTTTATGAAGGAAAAATTCAGATGGCAGAGTTATTCTGTACTTGAAACTGACCCACATATGAAATGATGGTCACATCTGTTACTTCTTTTGAGCGTCTCATCAACCTTGGGAACTCCCACACAAATGCCAATACATCTTCTGTATCAGAGGGAAAGTGTTAATATCTTGCAAATTTAAGAAATTAAATTTAATTGAAAATGTAAACAATCTCTTTGGAGGCATCATAACCTCTCTAGCATGTTTTACTTCTCCTAGAACTGTATCCGGGAAAAAGATTACACTTAGTCATGGTAGTCCTATTTTCATTTATCTTTAAGCTACGCAAAAGTCAAATGTATACATTTATACAATTTAGACAGTAAAATAATATTGCCCTAAGAACAACCCCTTTTCATTGAAGTAATTGTTTAAAACATTTCAGATTGTGCATTTGTGTAAATTTAAAAAAATTTAATTCCAGATACTTTTGTTGGCTTGCTGAGTATAAATAGTCAAATACACTATTTCAGAGCACAACATGCTAAGGTTTATAGCATGCCATTTAGAAGCAATTCAGGAGTTTTGTTTAACTTTATAAATGTTGCATTTCTGTAAGTGTAAATTTAGTATCTTTGATACTTTATTGTTTCTTTCTGGGAGATAGTGACATTTTAGTGTATAATGTGTCATTTTAATATACCACATGAATCTAAAACAGTTCTTTTCCATCTTACAGGAACATTTGTTCCAAGTTTTCTCTTAGGGCTTTTAATTCGACTCTCTTTGAGTTATATCATGCAAAAGAAAAAGAGAGGAGAGAGAGAGAGACTTAAGGAGACAGAAAGTAAATGTCTAAACGTAGAGAAAATTTAAATGGGAATCCAGTTTCCTGTGTTAGCATAGCCACTCCCAAATATCAGTCAGGTTTTACTGATTAGTCCATACATGTTTTTAGTAAAAGTAAAGGCAATGGACTGACTTAATTATTCTTTTATAATCTAGCGCTGTGCAGGCATACTCAGCCCTGTCTGAACTTTACACGACTTTAGTCACATAATCCTCCTGTTGACCATACGCTGCTTCCTGCGGCAGGGTGCTCTCCCATTGTCAGGGTAGGGATACTGAACCTCAGAACTAATTGCAGGTTTTTTCTTCAGTCCACCTGAGTTTGGAAACCATGTTTTGTCTACAAGACCCTACTGTCTCTCAAGTTTATTTCTTTTTTCTTAAGCCACTTTACTGAGCTATGGTTAACATAGGAACATTTTCTTGTGAATTTCTATGCCAAATATTTACTGAAGGACTGTTTCAGCCACACAATGAACTTGCAAGTATAGATAGAGACCTGTGATGTCAAACTTCACGTATATCTCTATTTTAACCTAAAATTCTACGGAGTCTCTTAGGAAAAAGGAAAATGTCAAATTACAACAATGTGAGACTGTTTCCTTCTCCTGCCTCTCAGACCCCTGGCCAGTCTCCTTGGAGGGCTAAGGTCCAAGGTCCAGGGTCTGAGGTTCTGGCCCTGACTCTTCCCTGTCTACCTGTCCTCTCTGGAAAGCCTCACTTTCCCCTTGGATTCACTTCCATTCCTGTGATTCCCAAATTGCACTCTGACCTTTCTCCTGAGTTCGAGACCCTGCCTTTGTGTCGGCCTTACATCTCTAACTTGTCATGTTCCAAATTGAATATCTACCTTCCTCTCCTTCCAAATCAAAATGGTCCTTTCTTTCTGGTCTCTATTTCAGCTAATGCCACTATCACTTCCCTGGTCTTACAGCCCAGAAATCGTGATGTCATGTTGATTCAAGTGCACATTTGTAAAGTGTTGATGATCATACCTCCTTGGAATAATTGACAGGGAGTGTCAATTATTTGTATATTATCCAGAGCCTTCTAAGAATATGCCTAGAATGCAGTGGATGCTCTCTCTCTGTATATGTATCAGATGAGGTATTGTTAGGATGAGTGAACATCTCCTCACTTAGAATTGCATAAGTAAATCATTAGGACCAAGTTTTCTCTCCCATGCCCACGCCCACCCTTAAATGTGTAGCCTTAGGTCAAAAATGAATTTCATATATTGCTTAAGTGTTTTATACATGAAGCCCTAGAGACTGCCTGTGAAACACAGAGCTTGTGAGTACTCAGCCCAGCCCTTTCCTTGTATTCACTAGCTGGGCACAGAAGTTAAAATTCTGAAGTAGTTGGTTACCACATAAATGTATTTACTTATCTGCCTACTCCTTTATTTATTTATATTTTATTACTTAGAGAATAAATGAAAATGGAGCCAATTACATTTTTTCACTGCTACTGTTTAATTAATGCTGCCTTTATGAAGATGGCCCATCTGCTCTGGCAGTGTTTTCCTAGAGGTGGGTATAGATTTTCATTCTTTCTCCCTCACATCCCCACAACCAGCTGCACAAATTGGCATTCAGAAAATGTGACAGTCAATAAGTGGATTTAAGCTGATACCCCACAGACATTGAAACGAGGCTCTGCCACCCTGAGAAC